GCTAAAAACCGATTTGAATCTTTTTTTCATTATAGGGTAACATGAGCCAAACAATTTTCGTTAGAAATATACAATTATGCTAACTTGACACATCAGATAGAAAATATTTTATCGTCATCATCGGCTATGATAAAAGATTTTTACGCTTAAGATTTTGGATTATGATAAAGCACACAGGACCTATTTGTCTAAGGGAAAGGAAGTCTTCAGGTAGATAGTTTTTTTTTTGTGGGAAACAAACTGTTAATTCACAATCAATTGTACTTATGAAAAAACCCCTAAACCTCCCATGCAGCCGCTAGAATTTACCGGTGCTCAGCTATCTTACCGCTTGGAGACTAGTTGGCTTTCTGAACTTACGCAATATCTATCTGAATTTGAATATTTGCATAAAAAACGAGCAAAATAAAATGACACATTGTAAATAGTACATTTTACTGAAATCAAACTTTCTTTGAAAAAGGAAAATTAATTGTAAGGAATAAGATGGATGCATTTAATTAAACGGCGGGCAATAACAGCGCTGATCATATGTTTCGTATAGGAAATCATTTTCTTCGTGTTATCGTATAACGGAAAATATCCACAGATTATATTTTTTTATCAAAGAAGTCATGGGTTATCTGCTTTAAGAGAACACCTTCGTGGGTAATATTCTAAATAAAATTGGCTTGAATTCACGTTACGCATCGGGAAAATCATAAAGACCACAAGCAGCTAAACTGTTCGGTTGCCAACAACAAAACTACCAACATCCAGCAATCTTATTCACTCAACTATAGTGAACTTAAACTAATGTTTGTATATTATTAGTAGTATTAAAATAACGAAAATATTTATTCTAATAAAAATTTTTGTTTGAATATCCTCCCTAGTAAGGTATTTCCTTTGGTTGGAGATTTGTCAACAATAAATGCTATGTTCAAACAAGACATTTATTTAGAGCATAATGCTTCAAAAATGTATGCTGGGATCCCTAGAAAAAAAAAAATATCTCCGAAAATATATTAATTATTCATATTCTTATGATTAATTATTAAATAATTAATAACTTTTATAATTATTAAATGAAATGCTTATTTATACTTTACCAAATGTACAGCAACACTCTTTCTTTACAAAAATACCATATTGAATAAATTATATTGTAAGCTAATAAGTAACAACATTGCTTTGTTTAATTAAGATACAATAACAAGCCGAACAAACATTAAATTGGAAGTCAAACAACAAAAATCAGCGTTATATTTTCAAATTTTCACAATCTAATTTTCATTATATCTTATCTCGTTCATTTGCGCTTTTGCAGCTGAAGATGATGGTTCGGTAAAACCATCGAAACTAGTCCTGTGAAAATTTGAAAATATAACGCTGATTTTTGTTCTTTGACTTCCAAATTAATTGCTTTGTTTGTTATTAATATGTCTCATCTTTCCTATTTCAGATAAAATTTACTAGTGTTTCTTGGACAGGAAAGCAAGAATTTTTAATTTGAATCAATAAATTTATGATACACTGAAAACGGTTTCAATGTTATAATTCCCTTTCTGAATATCTTGAATGTATATGAAAAAGTAAAATGCAAATTTAATATTAATATTATCACCCTTAAAAAAACACCCAAATGTTTCGCTTATTACTCTCTTAAAACTACGTAATAATTAAGGAAAAAAGAAATTATTTAAAATAATTATTAGTTGCATGCAGTTGAAGAATATAGGAAAATGCTGAAGGTTTTAAAGATTTTTAATTAATGACAAAAATACAGAAAATCGGAAATAATACGAAATGTTTCAGCAATATCTCAGAAGGAATGAAAATTGCACCAGATATTTGTCAGAATATAATTTTAGTGATAGCAGTTTAATCAGTCTGCATTGAAATTCCGGTGATAATCAGTGACATACAGATTTAGGTTACTTAGGTTAAAAATGCGTAATAATTTAAAATTTAACCGGGTAAATTTTAAAACCAATTTATTTGAAAACTAACGCCTTCGTCTGGCTTTTAAATGTACCGGAAAAATGGCTGAAGGGAACTCCAAACGTTAAATTTAAAAACTGCGTAGGATTTTACTCTGCAGAAGAACTTCATAAAAAAAAGTTATTACGTATAACAAAATTACAATGAAATAAGCAATATCCCTTAATACAAATATTAATTATCCTAATAAATAAATTAACCAAATTCCCTTTGCAAAATCTTAAGAACTCAAATGGTATAAAGGAGGTTAAGAACTTTGTTTCCTAAAAAAATCAGTCAAAACTTTTCAATATCTTAAAAACAGTGAAATGAGCAATAAATAAAATAAAGGAATGCAAAAAACAAAAAATTCTGAAAAGCAAAGTATAATTAATGATATTTTATCTTATGTTTTCAAGCGAAAAAATTACAATGAAATAAGCTATATCTCTTAATACAAATATTAATTATCCTAATTAAAAAATTAACCAACTTTCCGTAGAAGAACAAAAATCATGCAAAACTTTTCAATATCTTATAAACAGTGAAATAAGCAAAAAAATAACATGAAAGCAACTCAAAAAACATAAAATTCCGCGCAGAATTTTACTCCACAGAACAACTTTATCAAAAAAAAAAATCAAAAAAATATATTATATTTATATAAAAATGACAATGAAATATGCCAATCTCTTAAAAACAGTGACATAAGAAATACGATGAAAAATTGTTGCCAAACCCATATTTCTAAAAGAATGAAACTATTCAAAATGATGCGATTTCATCAAAAATCTATCAACAACAATAAGACAGGAAAATTGTTGCCAAAATCACATTTTTAAAGATGTGAGATGTGAGAAGTGTACTCGGAAGCTTCATTTAAAAAATCTTTTAAAAATACAAAATATTATCATTTTTCCAAAATTCTTTTTGTAAAAGCATTCGCAAGGATGAAAGTTTAACGTGTCCAAAAATCAAAGAAAAATAAACTGTACATTTTTAAAAATAAACTTTTTTAGAAAAAATCCCATTGAAAAAGTGTTAAGCTCCCTTTGTTAAATAAATTCGTATTTAATCGATTTATTGAAACACGAAATTTATTTTAAGTTCGTAAAATAGCTAAGTGCCTATGTTTCATGACGATGTGAAAATAGAGTGTGTAGAGTAAAATCTCGCTTTTCTATAGCCCATTATAATTCAAAATCATATTCAAAATGAAACGATTTCGTCACAAAACATAAAATAAAATTTAAAAAAAAATTCGAATTCGAATTTCGAAAAAATCGCTTCGAAGTGCACTGGCTCTTGTGTAGATGTACCTATGTACCAAATTTCGTAGCCGTGGGTCTATTAGCTTACGCGCAGCATGAACGAAAGACACAGACAGACTCTTTCTTTCATTATATGTAGAGATAAGATTGTTTAAGGGAAGGAAACTTTTAAGTTTCGCAGCTGTACCCTGCGGCATTAAGACGGATCATCACACGGAGAGTCTAGCCTTTTGCAATTCTCTTGAGAGCTCACATCTACCGGAACAATATCTAGTAATCAATCTCACTTAGCGGAATCATTGAAGTAAAATTCTGAGAGGGATGGGAAATAACAAAAGAACTGCTTGACAATTTTCAGAGGTTTAGAGTTATTTTCGCGACATTTTACGGGAAGTTCGGTCCAAAACTAGCGACAGTTTTAAATGGGTTCGCAGAAAATCACTCGACAGGCTAAGGGTTAAAACTCAAAGATGTACTACAAACACATGAAGAATCTCACAAAACGGAAACAACTGTCTTAAGTATTGGCTGGAATAAAAATTCTGATACTTTTAAGAATGCATTCAAGACTTCCCCCTGTGTTTCTACAGATAAACCACTTACAAAGAGATGGTTACTCCACTGCATTGTAGTTTTTATGATCCTTTAGGACTTTTTTCACCATTTACTATCCTTGTGAAAATCTTATTCCAAGATACATGAACTCTTGGAATCAAGTGGGATGAATTACTACCTGCTAATTTATCAACTTTATGGTATGCAGCTGTAACAGAACTTGATGACATTTGCTCTCTTCAAATTCCTCGATGTATAGGCATTTCATCACATGTTACTTTTGCTATTCATGTGTTTTGTGATGCATCTGAACGTGCCTACGGTTCAGTTCTGTACATTTAAAGGTGACCTGTCGAATGTGAATTTAGTGTGTAGTTGCAACAAACTATCTCCTATAAAAAAAAAGTTACTTTACCTTGTTTGGCGGCCCTGATGGACGCACTATTGTTGCAATATTTCTGTGCTGAAACAAACATCTGTTCGGCAAATGCAACATTGTGGAGTGATTCTCAAGTTGTCTTAAGGTGGATACGCAGTGACCCCAACAAATGAAAAACTTTTGTTAGCAACAGAGTAACAGAAGTTATTTCCTATACTAATCCTTCACAACGGACACATTGCCCTGGCAAAGACAATCCAGCTAGCAAACTTTCTCGAGGTGTTTCACCATCAACACTGAAAAACCTAAAAATTTGGTGGAACGGCCCTCCCTGATTAGTCAAATCTCCAGAATAATGGCCTCATTCTGATACTATTTCTAAAGATTACAGTTATAACTTAGAAGCAAAGAAAGAAAAAATTCTGACCCTTCACATCATATCTACTCAACCAATCATAAAGGCTAGAAATTACAGTTCTTACTTTCAAGTGTTATGTGTAACATCTTGGATTCTTTATTCACGACTGTAGGAAATAAGAAAAGTTAGTGGGTGAGTTACATACCACAGAACTAAATCAAGCTCGTATTTATTGGATACAGACCGTTCAGAAAGAATCCTTTCCTTCAGAATATGAAACTCTGTTGACAGGAAAATCACTCCCTAAGAAATCAAGGATAAAAAAAAAAAAAATTAACCTTTTTTCAAGAACAATGTTATATTTCTTGGTGGTCGACTACAAGTTCCTGATTTATCTTATGCTGTAAAACATTCCATTTTATTGGAAGGTTCTCATCACTTTACAAGCCTACTGATACGCCAAACACAGTTACGAATGCATCATCTCGGTGTTCGGATTGTACTTTCTCAGCTTCGTTCAGAATATTGGATACTAAGAGCAAGGCAAGCCATTAAAAAAGTGATAAAGACTTGCCTTCTAAGTAAAGTACTGAAACAAAAGAGAAGTGAACAGATAGAAGATACATTACCAGCTGAACGAATACAAAAGTCATCTCCTTTCGAAACTATCGGAATTGATTTTGCTGGACCACTCTACGTACAAAATAATAACTCCGTTACAAAAGCTTACATTGTCATCTTTACATGTGCTACAACTCGAGCTATCCACTTAGAATTAGTTTCCGATCTGCATACTGACATCTTCCTACTTGCATTACAACGTTTTGTCTCTAGACGTTCACTTTCTCATACAGTGTACACTGATAATGCCACAACTTTCTGCGCTGCGGACAAAGAGCTGAAATTATTCTGAGATACTATATTCTCTGCCAAGGCACAACAGTTTTATGCCCACCACAACATCAAATGGAAATTCATCGCCCCATGAGCGGCTTGGTGAGGAAGATGGTGGGAAAGAATGATAGGCTCAATTAAGCGATGCCTTCGGAAAACATTAGATAAGGCTCTTTTGGATGACACTGGTTTGATCACTGTATTATGTGATATTGAAGCCGCTCTTAACAGAAGACCGATTGTTGAATATGGAATAAAAGATGACTCTGAGGAAGCTTTAACACTCTCGCACTTCCTCATAGGAAAGAAATTAACTACTATTCCTTCCAGCTCCACAAATCCTGAAACAAATTTAAATCGTATGTGGAAGAATCATCAACATTTCATGAACTTCTTTTGGAAAAGATGGCAAAAGGAATATCTGATGAACTTGCATACATTTCATCAAGTATGGAATTCATCTGAAAGAAATAAAATTCGGAAAGGGGACATTGTCCTACTACAAGAAGATGTTAGACCTCGCCACACCCGGAAAAAGGCCCGTGTTGAGGAGCTAATCCTTGGCCGCAACAAGAAAGTCCATACTTGTGTTCTAGGCACCAAATGGACATACCATTACCCAACCTGTGCAGCTGGTCATCCCGCTGGAAGTTGACCAGGGTGGGGAGGATGTTGCGGCAAAGTCAGCGAACTATTAAAAATAACATTACCCTTTTGTGAATGGCATTACTTGCATTTTTTTTTTTTTTGTATTCATAAATGTTTTTGCTTGTTCTATATTTTATGTTAGGAAATAAATAAGCATAAAGCATCTCCTAATAAGGTCAAAATAATGTTAATGTGTAGAATATTTTTCTTCTTCTTCTTATGCTCTACAGTCAATTTCTGGCCAAGGCTGTCTCTGTCAGCATCCACCATCTTAACCCATCCAATGCCACAGTTCTCCAACTATTGATACCAATGTTCATTATCCATTCTTCCACATTGTCTAGCTATCTCATTTGTAGTCATCCTCTCCTTCTCTTTCCCTCTGGCTCTTAGAATGATAATTTCTTCACTGGGTTTTCATCTACAAATCTGTATATATGGCCTTGCCATCTTAGTTGGAAGGCTTTAATAACTTTTATTGTATTTTGTTCTCTAAATCTTTTGCTGTAGATCAAAATTATATCTTATTTTCCCCACTCCATTTCCCTCCACTGCTCCAAAAATTCTTTTCAAAATGTTTCTTTCAAATGTCATTACTCTATTCTAATCTGCTTTATTCACTGTCCAACACTCACTTCCATACAAAACTGTAGGTCTTACTAAGGTCTTGTACAACAATATTTTAGTTTTATTGTTTAATTATTTTGTTTTAAACATTTCATAATCCATAATAGCATATGTTGGCCTCCTGATTCGGTTCTTGATTTAAATAGGTATATCATTATTATTATTTACAGTTGTACTCAAATATTTGAATTTTTCAACCTTCCCAAAAACATAGTCTTTTATTTTCAGCGGTATCAAGTTATGGCTTCTGTTTGTAACTGTAAGCAACTTTATTTTTTTCTTCATTGACAATCAAATCACTATTTTTTTTACTGCCAGCTTGAGAGTACAAAAAGCCTCAACTATTGCTGCCCTCATTCTTCCCATGATGTCAATGCAATTAGCAAAGACCAACAATTGCACAGATTCTATGAATACAATATTTTGTCTTTGTATGCCCAAATCTTTTATTGCTTTTCCAAGGGCAATATTAGAAAGTTGGAAGGAAAGAAAATCTCCTTGCTTTAGTCTTTTTTTTTCAGTATGAAACACAAGTGATAATCCAGTTTCCAGTTTTACTCTATACTTTACTTTCCTAAGGTTCATCATTATCAGATTCAACAATTTTTCAGGCACTCCTCACTCCAGTATCATCTGAAACAGTTTCTCGCTGTTAATGCTATCATAAGCAGTCTTAAAATCAATGAAAAGGTGGTATGTATCTAAATCATCTTCTTTTGTCTTTTCAAATTTTGTCTAATAGTGTGTATTTGGTTGGTACCCTTTTGGGATCCATACTGATATTCTCCAATTATTTTTATTGTAAAAGTAGCTACTCATTCTGATAGAATGTTTCAGAAGATATGTTCAGCAGTGTGACATCTCTGTACTTCTTACACTCCAGCTTATCTCCTTTTTTATATATTGGGCATATAGAACCATCCTTCCATCATTATATGGGCAATTTTTCCAAAATGCAAACACTGGAGGCAATAACATGTATTTCCTTGGTCAGTTTAGGCTCCTTAATATTCAAAAGCTTGGCCTTGATACCATGTGGTCCTGTTGAACGTAGAATTTTAGACAATGTCAATAGACAGAATTTTAATGAAAATAAATGCTGTAACTTTTGAAGGAACTGTATAAATCTCATCTTTCTATATGGCCATTACATAGTAAATATTTCAGAAAGTAGCCATTATATGTCAATTGATTTAAAAAACCATACCCATGGCTTTGAACTGATAGAGCTAAATAAATGTTTTCACTACAAAGAAAGAGGTCAGTACAGTTTTAACAACAAATGCTGTTTCATCCAAAATGGTTAAAAGAATGAGCTATTTTAGAGTTTTCATAAATAAAATTTATTCCACAAAATCTTTATATCATATCTGTAAGCAATATAAAAATGATCTACATCAGTAAACTGATTCATAAATATCTGTTTTGCACTTAAAAATATGAAATTTTTAGTTTTCAACTATTTAAAAACCTAATGATTATTCAATTACCTGGAGACTATTTATTAATTAGACAGCTCATACCAAAAGCTAGATTTTAAATACTAAAACCTTTTCCAATCTACAGTAGTTCATACAATTTTTACCTCATTTGAAAACATTTTGCTATTGGATATAATGCCTTTGATCCATAAAACTTCAAACTGATGACAAAAAGCTTCAAACCTTTTTTTTTTTTTTTTTTTTAACATTGTAATGCATGTTCTATAAAGAGCCAACAGACTAAAGGATTAAACACAATACATATTCTCAATTACTTTTTGAGACATTTGATTTTAACTAGAAATTAAAAAGCAAATATTCTTCGTAATTCAGAAGTTAATTATAAAATCCACTTACTCTTAGAGTTTTGTCCTCTGAACATGTAAAAAAAGTACCACTTTTCTTAGAATGCAAAATATAATTAATTCGACCTTCATGCTTTTCCAAAACTGTTACCTTTTTTGAAGAAATATTTAGCACCTACAAGGAAAAAGTAAGAGATGAAAATAATATGAACAGAAATGCATACATAAACAATTATTATCATGCTCAATGAACTTTATATGTTAAACAATATTTAACCCAGTGTTACTCACCTAATAAACAAATATTTAAAATAAGTTATAAACTAAAAGAAATGAAATCTTTAGTTCTTCTTAGTTAAAGTAGTTGGCCCATTTTCAAATTTTACTTACATATGCTGTCCAAGAAGAAAAGAAAGGAAATTCAAGCTAAATTATGTTTAAAGTTTAATTTGAGCAATGCGTCACATAAAGATGAATATAAATATATTTCTACAATTCAAAATATAAAAAAAATCAATTGAAAGCTTTTAGATATAAATCTTAAAATACGTGATCGTAGGCAAAAATGCTTGTCCCTTTCAGGTTTCATGTTATTCAACCTCTTTGTTTTGTAATCTAACTTTTTTAAATAAAGAAGTTTAATTATTTTATATATGAACTATTAGTGTGTTATATTCATGATAAAAATTAATTACAGAAGTTTTTTACTTATAGAAATCAATAGAAAAATAATTTGTCTTCCACCTTATGTCAAGTCCATTACCTTGAGATTATTTTACACAAAATTAGTTTGTAAATCTGTCTAAATGGGGCAGTGCATATTCAGTGACATAGATAAACTGATAAAGCTAAGTTTGACTACTTTGAATATGTACTGCTCCCCCTTTAGGCAGATTTACAAACTAATTGGCAGTAAAATAATCTCAAGGTAACAGACTTGACCTGAAGTGGAAGACAAATTACATTTATTGATTTGCTAAATTTTTAATTGAATTTTCAATTGATTTTTTATGTTTTAAATTGTGGAAATATATTTATAATTATTTTATGCAATGCATTGCTCAAAATTAAACTTAAAATATTAATTTATTTTCAATTTTTTTTTTTTTTTTTTTTTTTTTTTTCTTCTGGGACAGCATATGTAAGCAAAATTTGAAAATGTGCCAGTCACTTTGCTTAGTTTTCAAAATTGGCTTAACTGGCCAATCTATAACGTGAAAACCACTAGAAGCTTAGGCATTGTCACTTTAATTAGAAGTACTAAGCATGAAGCATTGAAGAAATTTGTTCATAACTAATAATAACTTAATTATTTAAAAGAAATAAAATCAGAGAACTGTGGTTTACTATGCTAGATTTGATACCTGATGATAAGCCATGCTACAGTACTACAATAATTTACTAAATATTTGAACAAAATTGTCCTTTAAAATATAAAGAAAAAAAAAATGCAATTTTATTTATTATAAAAATTTTATTCAAGGTGTGCCATAAAGGCGCATGACAGTAGAAAGTCCAGACGAAAATAAAATCCCGAGGAAAGGCTTGGCAGGGAGGAGGGGCTTAAGACATGATAGGCGGAGAGAGAAGTCCAATCATGATAGGTGATGCAGAACAATGACATGGAATGCAGAGTCAATCAGGTGGTGCCATTTAGGAAGCCCTATATTGCTAGAAAGTAAAAAGCAGTTATTTTCAAGGCAATCATCTTACTACAGGTAGCAAAGTTAAAAGTCCATTTGCATTATCTGTTCTACAATGCCCAGAGCAAGAAGAACCTTTTCTTGGAGCGATTCAATTCTTACACTTCTCTACAGATTCGATAAACTTGCAGACCATAAGTTTAACATTTACATCCAAAACGACTTCGCAGCATCAGTGTGGGGATTTGAATGAGAAAAGTTATCATTCTTCACAGTTTTCTCAGGCACCAGCGGGTTTTTGTCAGATTTTTGCGGCTTGGGAGCTTGAATTGATGTCTTAGTTCCATTTCTTTCATGAATCTTAGGTCAAAATTCCCACGACTTCGAGGATGCCATATGATCCTTTTTGCAATGTACACAAGTAGCCTTTTCATCTTTCTGTAATTTACAGGTGTAGGTCAAGTGCATTTGCTCACATTTCAAACATCTTGATAAATTATTACAGAAGGTCTGTCCATGGCTGTAGCGTTGACACCGAAAGAACATTAAAGTGCTTTGATTGCATCTATATCTTCTAAATGTGACACGTAGGTTGAGTAAGGTATTTTTATGGTAAATATTTCTGCTTTTGTCATCTCACTTAAAAGAGGTGAAGAAAAAGGGAAGTTTAGTCAAATTTCTATCAATTTTCTGGGTTAATTGCATGATATTTATAACCGGGAAACCATCGTTCTTTAGCTCCTCTTTGATTTCTTCAACAGGAATTCTGAAAGTCCATGGGTAACCACTTTGAATGGAATATCCTTCTTACTGCTGAAAGTGCTAAATTGCACTTTGCTCTTCATTAGAACAGTGAGTGCTCTATTGCGATGATGTGAAGAGTCGAACAATAGTGTAATTATATCTCTCGTCAGCACTCCAGTAAAGCTTTTCACTCTATTTTTTTAGAGAAGTCCTCGTAGCTCATTCCATTCTACCTCAGGTCTGAAGCAAAATACGGGCAGCAGCTTCTCCTTTTTTCAGTCAGTCACAGGAACAAGAGTAAAGTGATCTTTGTCTTTTCGCGTTTCATTAACGCAGTTCATGGGCCCCGCGGCAGCAGGAACTGACGCCAGAACTCGGAAGTTGTTTGGCGTACTAAAGATGTTAGGTACATATATGTAATGTTTTGGCAGTCGGGCACATGAATGAAGCTTGGCAATGAAACGACGACACAGAAGGATTTAAATTTACCACTCCATATCTTTATTCCAGTCAAAAGGCATATTATCACTCTTTACTAAATAAGATCAAATTCAATGCGTCATAGCATTCTAACAAAGGGAGGCAGATGAGAGAGTAGCAGCACAGATCTTAGTGGAATAGCAGTGGGAAAAAGCACTCTCTCTCTGACGCAACATGGTGCGATTTTTTTCGAATGGTGCAAAAAATTTTCTTTGGTACCTGAATTTGAAAAATTTGTCTTAAGCAATTTATATAAGTATCAGTAGTTACACTTTTAGAAGCAAAAGTCCAAATATACCTGGTTGCATTATAAGGTATTTCTTCAGCCTTCCTAGCATGCCTTCATGGTGTGGTGTTTCTGCACACTGGACCGGTATCCAGAGGTCCATGGTTTGATTCCTGGCAAAAGCAGTTGCTATTTTTCATCTTTCCTGCTTCCAATTAACCTACTGACTCTACAAGTGGCGCCCGAACTAAAAGGGTTGTGAATGATGATTCTCCGCACCCAGGATTTGGCAACCAAGTCCCCTAAAACCCTAGTCGCCCTTTAAAAGGGGGAGTATATAAGGTATCTCCCGCTTTTCTAGCGTGCCTTCGTGGTGTAGTGATTCTGCACACTGGGCCGGTATTCCAGAGGTCTGTGATTCGATTCCCGGCGAAGGCGGTTGCTAATTTTTCATCTTTCCTCCTTCCAAAAAATACCTAATGTCTCTAAAGCATGATCAATAATTATGTGAATATACTTTTTAGTAGAATTATAATAATTTAAACCTTCAAAAGTATCAACAGACAATATTTAAAAGGGTTCACTGACCAATGAAAAGTTTTGCATTAAACCAAATTTAACTTGTTTACTTTTCTTAATAAAATGACATACTTCACAATGTTTGCAATAATTTCTAACATCTTGAACAATTCCTGGCCAATAATATTGAAGAGATAATAAATTTAGCATTAAGTACACACCAATATGGCCAAATTGTAGATGTGCCTTTTCAAGCAACTTAGTACAAAGAGTCATTGGAATTACAATTTTATACAGTCCCTGTTTTTTAATAGTTAATACATCATTCATTTTCTTACATTTAAGATTACAAACGTTGTCTAAATTTTGATAGTCTTTTATTTCTTCTAATGATAATAAATTAACTTATGTATATGTATATGTAACATACATAGATAACATAGATAATTTTAAAGACCATCTAAATAAGCGACCTGTAGGATGTTTTATATTTTTAAGCTAGACTAGAGCAGCATGGTCAGTATGTACAGTAAAATGATTACCATGTAAATAATAATAAAATTTATCAATTGCATCAATAATAGATAAACATTCCAGCTCAGTAATTGCATAATTTTGTTCATAAGATCTTAATTTTCTAGAATGAAAAACAAATGGATGTAAATTACCATCAGGATGTTCTTGTTTTAAGACAGCACCAACAGCTTCTTTGGAGACATCAAGAAATATATGACAAGGATATTTAGGATTAAACAAATTAAAATAGGCCTAGAAATTAATGCATTTTTTAATTTTTGAAAAGCTATTTGATATTCATCAGTCTATTTATAGGGGGTACCTTTCTTAAGTAAATTTGTTAGGGGAGCTCTAATTTTTACCTAATTTTGAATACATTTCTGATATACATTAATACAGTCAAAAGTCGTTAATTTGGACACCCATAATCCGGAATGATCTATAATCCGGACCTCAAAGCTAAAATCTTTCTGCGCATGCGCCGCATTGAAGCATGCGCATAGGCGTTTTACTCGTGCGCGCAAGACATTTACCACTGCGCATATGCGTCTGCGCAAGTGCAGAATACGTTTTCGCGTGCGCGTTTAATATATATCGGACGGTATAAGCTAAAATTATCTAATTATCTATTTCAATTAATGTTGATGATTGCGTTCTTTAATCTTCGAATTGGATCCGGCTTATTATTTTTTGCAGACTGTAAGAGCAATTTTCTAAAAGTAAGCTTGAACTTTCGATTATGTCAAATAGAATTTCCGATGCTGGAGCTCCCAAAGGATCTAGAAAACGAAAGTATGTTTCGATGCCCATCAAACAAAAAACGAATTGCTACAAAAAATGGATAAAGGCATATTCTTTGTTTATCTAACCGTTCCGAAATCTGTTTATCAATTTCACGCTGCTCTGCGCGGGGGAGGGGACGTCGCGGCGCGCATGAACTGGAAGTTGATTTGTCAACACTATCGTTATCTTCAGGGCAGATGTTTTTATTTTATTCGGCTTATAATTCCTTACTAAATGTAGTATTTAATTTCGGTGTACTCCGTC